TGTTTTTGAACTGTGGAGTGTTTGGAACAAGGCTTTAAGTCACCGTGAGCCAGTAAGAGTCCCCTTTCCTTTTAAACCTTATTGAAAACATGTTTTTACTTTCTTCCTTCTTCCCCAACCCCCACTCTGTGTGCCTGCGTGCACTGGCATGTGTGCAGAGGCCTGGGGACTGAACTCAGGTCGTCACGACTGGTGGCGAGCGCCTTTACCTGTTGAACCGTCTCACCCGAGTTCCCTTTCTGGATGCTCACCCAGCTACAGAGCTGGGCTGGCTCGGATGTGAAGTCAGAGCCAACTGCGTCTCAAGCTTCTGCACCGTCACACGGCAGATTGTATCAGGCTATTTGGCTCGGGACGGCTGGCAAGGTGATAAAATTAATGGTGTCGATAACATCTCGGAGTGGTCTGCTTCTACGTGTAGCACTGAATAGTTTACAAAGCTCCGGACGTAACGAGCTCCTTTGACTTCTCAATCATAATCCATGCAATCACTGCGAGGAAAAGCGGGGCATCTGTTACCTATGGTGATTTAAGTGTCTCATATGTATTAACTAATCTGATCTCAACAACCCCCAGAGAGCAGAGTCTTCTTGTGTCTCTATCTAATCCATCTGTAAGTTGTACAATCGAGGAAACTGAGGCTCAGAGACCAGGTGACCCCAGGTCACTGGCCGGGTCCTGGTCCATAAGGGATATGTGAGACCTTCTGTGGTAGTTTGAATATAACTGGCCCCCATAATCTCATAGGGAGTGGTGCACTATTAGGAGGTGTGGTTTTGTTGGAGGAAATGTGTCATGCCAGGGCAGGCTTTGAGGTTTCCTATGCTCAGGTACTGCCCAGTGTTGCAGACCATTTCCTGATCAAGATGAAGCCAGCACCATGTCTGCCTGCATGCTGCTGTGCTCCCCGTCATGATGAGAATGGACTGAACCTCTGAACTGTAAGCCACCCCAATTAAATGTTTTCCTTATAAGAGTTGACGTGGTCGTGTGTCTCTTCACAGCGATAGAAACCCTAAGATATCTTCCATTCTCTAGTCATGTGCCCAGTATCATCCGCAGCCTGTGACGGGGACATACTCTTAGGTCATACAGGGGTTCATGGTAATGGAAAAGTCTTTGTCTTGGTGAAGTTAAGAGGAGATGGACCTTCAGGAAACCCAGGACAAGGTCCCTGAGACATAGGAGGCCAGGACTGCAAGGCCACCTTGGGGGAGACGAGGCCAGCGCAGGCCACAGGAATGTGATCAATATCAACCACAAATTCACTTACAAATTCATTAATATTCAATGGACTCTCCTGCTCCCATTGAGAGCCTGGAAGATTTCCATTCCCAGAGAAGTAGGGACATATGACAGCAACTTCCCCGTCCAGCCCAGGCCCCAAGCCTCATTTTCCCTTCTGTTGAAGTCTACTGGTAGCGCACGTCCGGTTTTCAAGATAAAATCTGGAGTTGGTAAAAACACTGATTGAGGGGGTCAGTGGCTGTCTTATAAGCCAAACTATTCATTCAAAAGATGAGAGGAAACTGAGGCACAGGATGAGTGTCATGGCTAATATTGGTTGTCAACTTGACAGGCTCCAGACTCACGTAGGACACATAGCTCTGGGTATGTCCGTGAGAGAGTTTCTAGATTGGGTTGAGGTAGCTAAATGGGTGGTACCATCGCACATGGCTGGCATCCAAGACTGAATAAAAAGGAGAAATCAGGCCGTACATTGGCATTCCTCACTCTCTGCTTCCTGACTGAGGATGCAACAGGACCAGGTGCCTTACACTCCTGTCACCGTGCATTCAACATCATGACGGATGGCACCCTCAAACTGTAAGCTCAAATAAACCCTTCCTTCCATGTTCAGTGGCTTCTGCCAGGGATGTTGTTATAGCAACGAGGACAGTAACTAATATAAGTGCCTCTGGAGTAGTGTCTTCAAGTCGGGACAGTGGGTGAGACTTTGCACCCAAGGGGATTTGGCTATGTCTGGAGACATTTGAAGCTGCGCCTTGGAATCTAGTTTGCAAAAGTTAGAGTTGCTGCTTGACACCCTAAAACTCACAGGACAGCCTGGCGGTGGTGATGCACAACTTTAATTCCAACACTTGGGAGGCAGAGGCAGGCGGATCTCTGTGAGTTCGAGGCCAGCCTGGCCTACAGAGCGAGATCCAGGACAGGCACCAAAACTACACAGAGAAACCCTGTCTTGAAAACAACAACAATAAAAACTGACAGGACAGCCCTCCAAAAGCTTATCTGGCCTCAGGTGGAAGAGCGCCGAGTTTGAGAAGCCTGGGCTGGACTTCAGAGCCCAGGTCTGTGGGGTGGGAAGTAGGCACGGGGCATTGGGCAGCAGGACTCAGAACCACCGGAAACTCACACTCATCTAGACAGGAAAGAGAGTTGAAAATAAGAGCAAGGATGTGATTTGTCCTTGGACACAGCCAATTCGGGCTGCAGCTGGACTCGGAAGCCATGTCAGTGGGTGCCAGTCTGACTTTCAAAGCTGCCTTCTTGTCTTCCCACTCAGCTGCCTCCACCACAACCCCCGAGTAAACAACTTCAACAGTCTCCTGGCTTCAGGGGCATTTTTAGCCTGTTATGACAGGGAAAGCATACTGGAGCAGTTCAGCTCCTGGCGGCAGGAGTATGTGTCCAGGCTGTCCACATCACAGAGGACCAGGAAATAGAGCAGTAGGAGATGCAGGTAATAGACTCTGTCTGTGTCAGGTTTTCTATTGCTGTGAAGAGACACTATGACCTTGGCAAATCTTATAAAGGAAAACATTTTTTAAAAAATAAATAGATGAACACTTTACTATATATATATATATATATATATATATATATATATATATATATCACACACACACACACACACACACCTTTTCTTCTTTTTTTAGTTTCTCAAGTCAGGGTTTCTCTGTGTACCCACCATGGCTGTCCTGGAACTCGCTTTGTAGACCAGGATGGCCTCGAACTCACGGAGATCCGCCTGCCTCTGCCTCCCAAGAGCTGGGATTATAGACGTGTGCCACCACTGCCAAAACATTTAACAGAAGCTGGTTTACAGTTCAGAGGTTTAGTCCATTGTCATTATGGCGGGAAGCATGGCATGCATGCAGGCAGACATGGTGCTGGAGAAATTCTACATCTGGATCCATTGGCAGCAGGAAGAGAGTGATACTGGGTGTGGCTTGAGCTTCTGAAACCTCAAAGTCCACCTCCAGTGACACATTTCCTCCAACAAGGTCACACCTCATGATAGTGCCACTCCCTATGAGCCTATAGGGGCCATTTTCATTCAAACCACCACATTCTCCAAAGACCCGGCCCTAGTACCTTATTTACTTTAACCTGGGTCCACCTCCCAAGGTGACCAAGGTAACAGCGCCATTAGACCGAGAACATATACCTGTGGAGAGCAATGTGAAATTCAAACCTTAACAGCAACTTTATATGACCCATCCTCCCTTTCTCTCTAACTACTGCATACTCATTTAATGTCTGTCTCTCCTAAAGTGCCGGGGACTTCACTTCATCCAGATACTTGGGACCTAGTACATAACTAGTTGAAAATATGAAAATATTGGTTGAACTAATGAAAGTGTTTCTAAAATCTCCAGGATGACAGAGACCTTAGATAAGGAGAGCTTATTTCTTAACTCCAAGGGCTGTCCCAAGAGTGACACACACTAACTCACTTTGTCAGCACTGGATATCATAATCACGGATGTGTTGCAGATGATAAAGCTGAAGGAAAAAATAACCTAGTCCTAAAGAGCCAAGTGTGTGAAAGAGGAGCCAGGATCTGAACCCAAGGCCAATGTCATCAGCTTTCCCAACCTTTGCAGCGACTGTGGCCTTGGGGTGACCTTGTGCCAAGTGTCTGCCTCACACTCCACCTGTGGGACCCTCTCCTTTGCATGGCTTTTGCTGACCCACCTCAGAGCTCAGGATCGGTGCACAACTCAAGCCTAGTATTGCCTCTGGCCAATGTGATTGGGTCAGGATGGACACAAGAGTCAAAGGTGAACCAGGAACCAGCCCACATCCTGCCTGGGACTCCCTGCCCCCCATTTTTCTATTATTATTTTTCACTTTATTTTATGCATGTGGATGTTTTGCTTACATGTATGTCCGCAGTGCACATGGAAGCTGGAAGGAGGCATTGGATCCCTGGAACTATAGTTACAGATGGTTATGAGCGACCATGTGAGTGCTGGGAATTGAATCTAGGTCCTCAGCAAGAGCAGGCAGTGCTCTTAACTACTCAGCTGTCTCTTTACCCCCTCTTTCCCCGCCTTTTTTTGAGACAGGGTCTTTGTGCATCCCAGGCTGGCTTAGAACCTCCTCTTGCCTCAGTTGCCAGAGTGCAAGGATTAAGGGTATGTGTTGCTATTCCAGTTACAACAGAAACTTTTCTTGAGCTCCTAGAAAATATGTCCCCTGTCCCTTGGAGATCCTTAAATATAAGGATGGTGCTGGAGGCCACCCCCCGAGCATGGGGAGGAAACATGGCCAGTAGTGCAGAGTGGGGCTGACAGACACAGGAAACAAAGTCAGGAGACTGCCGCTGGGAAAGAGAGGACGGAAGTATACAGATGGCACTGTGTGAACTCCTGGATCCAGCCATCCCTAAAAGATCAGTGCTGGATCCCAGCCACCTTCAGTGGGAACTATTTGCTGTGTATTTACTTGGCTCGAAGCAGTCGGGGAGGAATTTCTCTCACCTGAAACTCAAAGATGTCTGACTCGTCCAAGTTGGTTTCAATTTTCCCAAAGGCTTAGTCACTTTCTCTAGGTCCTTTGAGGGTAGATGACTTTGTAGAACCCCAAGTGGCAAGATGGGGCTGTTCTACATCTAGACAAGCCTATCTCTAAGAAGACCTGGGGGCTGGTGAGATGGCTCAGCAGCTGACGAGGCTTGCCGCCAAGCTTAACAACCTGAGTTTGATCCCTGAGTCCCACATAGTAGAAGGAAAGAACTGACTCTCCTGAGTTGTCCCCTGACATCCACACTCAGATCACAGCACCTGCGCTCGTGTGTGTACACACACACACACACACACACACACACACACACACACACACACACACCCTCCAATAAAATCAATAAATGTAAACACAAAAGGTCTTCGACAAAACAGTGGCAGCTGTGACGAATATGTCAGCTTGCCGGGACCTAGGGGGAAATCAGCTGAGCGCCAGCACTCACCCTTCTCTGGTTCCCGGCTGCAGATGCGATGTGACCAGCTGCCTCGCACTCCTGCCACCACGCCTTCCCCACCACGACGGACTGCACCCTCCAACTGTGAGCCAAATAAACCCTTTCTTCCTTAAGTTTCTTTGTCAGCCATTTTCTCCCAGCGATGAAAAAAGACACCAATTCAACAGCTCACACTTACTAAGCTCTGTGTGACGGGTACTGCTCTGAGCGTTTAATGTTATTCACTTATCGATCCTCATAGGCACACAGCTTTAGGGTACCACTGTCATCATCCCATCCAGCAGGTGAGTAGAAAGGTGTACAGAGAGGAATGCAAACATGTTTAGGGCTTCACAGTAAATAGCAGAGCAAGACAGGAGCCCTGACAGTGGAGCCGAGACCCTGCTTCCCAACTTTGCTGCACAAGCCTGTCTGCCTTCCCTGCAAAGATCCGAACAAGAGTGATGGTTACTAGCCCCACCTCCCACCTACAGATCCAGGGCATGTCTTCCCATGTACCTGCTCTTTGCTTCATTGCCAAAGGCATGTTTAATCACCTGTCTAGCGTTTCCTTCCCAGTCGGCACTGTTAGGAGCCACAGATGGGAAATGGGACAGATGACGGCAGAGGCAGTGATGTCGGAGATCAGATCGACAACAGAGAAGGAACAGCTCTAACAATTCCGTACGGCTGTCTCCTAGTCTACCATTTCTTGCTTCTGCAGCCGGTCTCCGTGGCACCCTAATGAGGTAGGACCCAGACATCTGTTCAGATTGCTGTCCCACTCAGCACGCCTGCATCTGCTGCTTCCTCCATGTCTCAGCCAAGTGACTGCTTTAAATGTCCCATTTCACAAGAGCAGCAACCCTCCATACTTATGCAGTGACCACACAGAGCTCGGAGCCAGGATTGTTGATGGGTGAAGGTTGCAGACAGTGTGTCTTCCTGAGCATCTCCATGTATGTGGCAGTCACACCCACTAAGTCACCTCTCCCAGGAGAGCAAAACCTTCCTGAGGTCTCAGAAGCCCCTTTTGCTTCTTGGGGGGCAGTCGGTGGTGGTAGATTGGCAAATGTTTTGCTACCAAAACTGCAGAGGAGGGGAAGAGCCCTGACTTGTGGCGTGAGTGGCAATTCCTGTGGTATAAACACCATCGTCAGTGTCAAACCACCAGAGTAGTCCTGGGACTTTGGACCTTGGCTCTCAGGAGTCTCAGTTTACTGATTCTAGCCCACTGGACAGGAAGCCTGACCTGCACTGACTCTCACTAGGGGAACTGGGAGAGATGCTTTACCCAAATGGGACTTTAAAAATAGTGAAAGATAATATAAGGGTACCAGCTGCCATGCCCTCCCAATAAACAGCATTCAGACCAACTCTCAAGTGGATAAATAAAGATTTATAGAATCCTTTCCAAACTTACAAACATCACTGGAACTTTCCCTTTGTTTGCTTCAGTATGGGAGACAGTCACCAAGGACACTGCCCACAAGTAGAGGAAGCTCTGTGACTCTACTTTCTCCAAAGGCAGGCTGGGGATTTGCAAAATAGTAGCTTCGGTAAATGGAAATACTAAACAGTGGATGGAGGAGCCCAGAGCTGGTTAGGTTTGCCCATCTCTCATTTTCTTCCTTTTCAGTCCCCCTTCAGCCTCCCAATGGGGAAAGGCCAAGCAAGAACATTGTGGGTAATAAAGAGCATTGTGGGTAATAAAGAGAATAGTTGAAATGAGATATTTCAAGGGTCTATGGCCAAAATGGACTATTCCAGCACATTTGGGCTAGATCTGACAAGTTGAGAGCTTAGAGGATGGGGCTGGTTTGGTTATCATTTTGTTCTGACATAGAGTGTAAGGCATTTGAATTAATTTCATTGTTGACAGGTAAAGGGACGCTGCAGTTGGCTGTAGTATATAGCATAACCTTTCATCTACCCACCCATCCACCCATCTCTCCATTCATCTACCTATCCATATGTCTGTCCATGTATCATTTATACTATCATCTATTCTTTACATCCTATCTCAATCCACCCACCCATCCATCCATCCATCCATCCATCCATCCATCCATCCATCCATCCAATCCATCCATCCACTCACCCATCCACTCATCCATCCACCTATGCATCTCTATTTTCCTCCCTCCTTCTCCCTTCCTTCCCTCCCTCCCTCCCTCCCCCCTCCCTCCCTCCGTCTCTCTCTCTTTCTACTTATTCATGCATCCATCTATCCACCCACCCACCAACCCAAGTCCATCTAGCCAGCCACACCACTTTTCCTCAGAAACAATCCAAGGTCACCAATGACATTGCAAAATCTAACAGTCAATTCCCCTACCCATCTTAACCTGTCGGTAGCATTGTCTTAGTTAGGGTTGCTATTGCTGTGATGAAACACAGCCCCACCCTTCACTTCGTCCCACCTGGCACTGTGCCCTCCTTGTGTCTTGTCACTAACATGCCTTTCCTAGATTAACACAACAGCATCCATACTTATCTCCTGCTTCCATTTTCCCAAAAACATACATCAGACCCTATCGTTACTCTTCCCCAAACCTGCTTTTGACTTCCCATAGTCCTCAGGAGAAACTAAAAGCCTGCCACAAACATGCCAGGCCTCGCTGCTTCCAGGTTCTCTGCCTCCAACATTCCTCCTGCCATACTATGGCTGGCCACAATAACCTTCTGCTGTCTCTACATGGTACCCTCTCCTGCCTCAGTCTCTGCATGGCAACCCTCACCTCCCTTAATATCTGTACAGTACTCCCTCTCCTGCCTCAATCACACCCTCACCTAGCTCAGTCTCTGCATGGCACACGCTCACCTTCCTCTAGTGTTCCCAGATGTTGCTTAGCTAAGACTTCCTGCCATCCCATGTGACACAGCAGCCTCCCAATGCTCTGGGTTCTGCTGCTCTTCTTTATTTTGCCTCACAGCCCTTCTAGTGCTTGTATTAGTTCAGCTATTTGTTTTCCCCTTTAGTGCCTGACTACTTCTTTATAATACAGCCTTCACAGAGGCAGGGGCTGAGTCCTGCTTATTGTTTTAACTTATAGAATGATGCCCAGTGCCCAGCAGATAACAAAGAATGGTGAGTCAATCCATTCATTCATCCACCCATTCATGCAGGTATCCACCAACCTGTCTACTCATCTTTCATCTGTTCAGATATTCATCCACCTTACCCATCTGTCAATCAATTCATTCATCCATCTTCCTCTTCCATCCATCATCCATCCATGCCTGCATCCATCCATGCATATATCTGTCTATGTAGGCATCATCTATGTATCCACTCATCTATTCACCATCTCTCATCCATCCAGCTGCAATCCATCCGTCTATGCATCTATGTATCCATCTATATGTCTATCTATGCATTATCTACCCACCTCACCATGAATGCATTCACTGGCCTGTCTATACATTATCAATTAGTCTATCCATGTATATGTCTACCCATTCATTCTTTCATCCATTAATTTGTCCATCCATCTGTCTATGTATCATCATCCATCCATCTTTCCTTTATTTTTCCAACTAGTCAACCATGTAGTAATTTTTTGCAGTGAGTTTGGACAGGTTTGTAGAAGGTCCATTCTGTTAGACCTTCATGTGTGAAAGTGGATGTTCAGAAGCAGGTCTGTGGGAGTGTGGAGAGTGGCTAGGCCTTCCTGAGGTCAGTGATTACAGTAACTATGAGAATGATCCAGATTTATTCTTGCAGCACTTGGCTTCATGCATGGTGTTTTCCGTTTAAGCATGTGATGACTATTCCTGTAATCTACTTTACAGCTTGTGAGACACTTTCATATTCATGAACCCACTGAGCACTCTGTGACCACAACACACAGTAAGGTTACTGCTGAACACAGGGGCTGATTACATTAGTTAAAATTAATAGTCCGCTGAGTTAGTCATATCAACTGTATTTTAAGTGTTCTAGATACACATGTGTCTGTGGCTGCAATTCTGGACAGGACCTTCTAGAAGGGTTCTATTAAAAACAGTGTTTCTAATAGAACACACACACACACACACACACACACACACACACACACACACACACGCGCGCGCGCGTGCACGTACACTACACTCTGTTGTTCACATGGTTGACTCAGGTTCCCTGGTGGGCTCTATTTGGTTCTGATTCTGGGTACTGAGATACAGATGCTCAGACAGTATCTTCCCAATGTGCTCTGGAGCTCTGTGTTCATTCCCAGCTCCCAATCTGTGCTGCGGGAGAGAGTTCATCTCCAAGCCCCTGGTCTCTTGGAGGCTTGTGAGCAAGAGAACAGAGCTTCACCAGAAGCTCTCCAGAAGCAAGCATCTCTTCCAACCTTCTGCCCTCAAACAGGAGGCTCAGGCACGGACTTAAGAAAAAGGAGGTCAAGAGGTGGGGTTTAGGGGTAGGTAATGATAAAGAACATTCTAGAAGAGAGTTGACTGGTGATTCTGTCATTCTTGGTAGGACCTGTGCAATGAGGAGGCAGTGAGGCCACTGAGGGGAGGGACCACAGGATGGTGCCACATGGTGGCGGTGGGTCTGGGCCCTGGACAGAGGCTCTCAGTGTCATTGGAGACACATATGGGTTCACGGTGTTGTGCTGTGCACACCTAGGGGGATCAGACTGGCCAGAGACTAGGGTGATGGAAGATTCCCTTCCTCAGTCCCCAGATGTCAGACAAACTGCTTGGGCTATTGGATGACCCCAAGTGGGGGGAGCGTGTTCCACCCACAGAGTCTCCTTTCTCACTCTTCCTGTGATTTCTCTTCTCTCTCTTACTCCTTCAGGATACCTTGGGCTGAATGGCAAAACATGTGGGGTGGGTGTTGGGCAGCTGCAGGAAGGAAGATGCTGAGCACACGAGCCTGGCACAGCCCGGCAGCTGCTCACAGAAACAGACTCTTAATAGCCCTGGATTCTTCCAGCAGGTCTGTGCGCTAATTAAACCTGCCCCTCACAGCCACTGCGCTGGATGGGGACCTCCCTTGAAAGCTGTAATTTGCCAACATGAAGGCGAGCAGAAACAAGTATTCCAACATCACCCGCAAGCGCTGCTTCAGAATATCGATGAGTGGGAAGCAGAGACCCAGGCCTGCTTTCCAAACCTCGAACCCTGTCCGGATCAATATTTCTCTCCTCAGTATGCAGAGGGGAAGACCCTTTTAATTTAGAGCTGGAAACCCTCCAGGAGATGTGACATCCACCAGCCCTGTTGTCATGTTCCACTTCACTGAAAACACCATGATAGGTGAAGATAGGAAAATTACAGAACTCGTCCAAAGATATTCTATGGAGCCAGCCACGCATCTCTAATGACTCACCAAATGACCGGTCTCTGGCGTGCTGCCTGTAATTAGGGCCGTACTGTGCTGAATTTGTGTTTGCAGGTACCCTGCGCCGAGGTTCCATAAAGAGTCTCGAGTCTGTCCCCTGAACTGTGTGTACATGGTTGGGGAGGGGCATGAAAGACTGAGAGCTCACCCCGAGAAGTACAAGAGAACCCCAGAGGCAGGAGAAGCTCGAGAATGCCTGAAAGGCAAATGGAGATTTAAAGTATCAAATTGGGCTTGTCAAAGAAAACAGAGGGCTTAGGGAGATGGCTCAGGATGTAAAAGTGCTTGCCCTGCATGCCAGATGACCTGAGTTCAATCCTGGAACCTATATAAAACCTATAGATGCAGTGGCATGTATGCAACCTCAGAATACCTATGGTGAGATGGGGGGCTGAGTCAAAAAAATCA